CTTATGTACTTGAAATCCTCAGAACTAGAGATTATTTCCCCCATTTTACAGATGAAAAAACCGAGGCTTAGAGAGATTAAGTTGTTTGTCTGACACATTGCTACTAATTTGTGAGCAGAGATTTCAATATCAGTCATATTAACCCAGAGACCACACTTTTAATTTTTTTTTTCCTTTTTGTCTTTTTTCGTGACCGGTAATGGGATCGCAACCCTTGGTGTCGCACCCGCACCGCACTCAACCAGTGAGCGGACCGGTCTCTATATGGGATCCGAACCCTCGGTGGGAGCGCTGCCACACTCCCATGCACCGCACTCTACCAAGTGCACCACCGGGCCAGCCCACACACTTTTAATTTTTAATAGGATTGTATGGGGGGGACTTTGCCAAATATGTGTACCCCAGAATCTTGCACAGAGTAGATGTTCAGTGAATATTCGTTGCACTTAAATAAGTAAGGATATGGTCAATTTGTGCAGCCAGCTAATGTCCAGCAACTTTTTTCAAGCCAAGCCAGTATCACTTTGATATACTAAAAGCTTCTAATGAGAACATTAGCTACCAATTATATAAGTAAACCATTACGTTGGGAACAAAATGGCCAGCACATGGACACAATTTGCTTATTTGCTAATTNTTTGATATACTAAAAGCTTCTAATGAGAACATTAGCTACCAATTATATAAGTAAACCATTACGTTGGGAACAAAATGGCCAGCACATGGACACAATTTGCTTATTTGCTAATTAATATGAGGCCTATTCTAGCAGATGTCAGGATAAGCCACCATCACTGGCCATAAATTGACATTTTAGACCTTGGCTTTCAGGGCTATTTTCTTCTTTCCAATGAGGCTGGTAACTAAATAACTGTACAGGTGCTACTGGGCATTGACGTCTGGAATGAGACCATGGAGTCCAAATAAGGAGAATGGTCCAGCAAAAAATGAAAGAAGAAGAAATTACCTGTGTTGTGAGATTTGAAATATTAAGGTGGCTTGACAATTGGGAAAACTTAACCAACCTGCTGAAGCATGAAAGGTTCATACTTTTGGAAGCAGGAACAATATGGGAGGTTGGGCGAGGCAGATGGCCATACAGCTGTAATGCTAGTCTCTATTTCCCTGGTGCTTTTTTTATTTCCTGACATTCAGAGCAGAGCCTAGTATTATGGTGATGATGATCGTCATGTCTATGGCTGGGTATATTTTAAGCATGGTTGGCACTCTTTTTCTTAAGGACACAGTTGATGTAACCTAGATGCTAGGAGCACATGCCATACAGTCAGGCAAACTTAGGACTGAATTTCATCTCGAATTCAAGATCTAGGTACAGAGTAGGTGCCCAGCCTTTACCTATGATGAAGACCCTGACACTTCACGAAGAAATTTTACTTTTAGCCTTTTTGTTTAATGAGCACCTAATACAACATTAGGTACTTTTCAATGCCCACTAATTACTA